GAAGGCAAACATATAGTAAAAGCAAGCAAGAAAAACCTAAGAGATCCAGGGCCTGCCCGTAAGATTGCCACTCGATGAGCACCTTTGTATTGATCGGACGCGCCTCAAACATCAGCTCGCCATCTTTGTCCAGGATGTCATGCCCTTCCCGTGTGACCCATCTGGCAGAGAAGAAACCATCGACAAAATGATTAAAGACACCATATGCCTCTTCGTCTTCGACACTCATACCATCGACAGAAGTGTGGTAATCCCCGGGACCGTGATCGTAGTGGCTCGAACACCAGTGGATGGGAAATTTTGAGATTCTCCCAATCTCAAGATTACCCTCGGCGTCCAGGCACGACTCCCCGTCCTCGTCCACAACAGTAGCCGGGTTGAACAGAGAATCCAAGGCCGTTTGGGTAGATGGCTGCAGGATATACCACTTGTCCTTAAAGTCCCAGACAGAATTCATATACATCCTAAACAACCTCTTCGTCTGTTTAAGGGATACCCAACTATGTTTCACTTCTTGGGACTTCCATTGCAAGTGAAAAACCCTGAAGAACAGGGGAATGGTCGCCCCGATCCTCAGGAATCGACATGTAAGTTTGAATGCTCAGATAAAGGCGATCGTGTTAGGATGAAACTGGGAGGGTGCCAAGTTCAAATGATTGAACACCCCCATCTGGAAGTCGTTAAAGCCGGAGCCCAAGGTCTTTGAACACGACCTCATACATGAGGAAGGCGTCCTCGGTGTACTCCGAGCATATGCGTGCATCTGGCGCCGGTCTCAAGATTTTAAAGTTTCCCCGAAAGCCTTCCTGGTCGGCTCCATACTCGACAACTGTGAAGGCTTGCCTCTGGCCTTGACTGTAGATCGATGCTATTCCTCAGAGCTCGACGCCAACCCATATTTCAGGGTCGTCGATTATGTCGACCAAATTAATGTTCTCCTCGACGGTGTTAATCCGTTTAGTCTCCATATTCTCTGACCATTTGGGAGTGTCATCCATTTACCTACAAAGCAGAGGAAACCAGTGAATTCGATAGTAAATCCAAATCCCTCTTTTCGACAATGCAAATGAAAAGGCTAAGCAATGCCCATACCAAGTCGACAGTCATCCGCACAAAAGGGGAAATACGGGGACCTCGACCGACCCATGAAAATTATGCCAATCCTCTAGGATCACACAATGATCCTAACGATGAATGCATGTTTTTCATAAATGTATTGAGCATAGGACGAATATTGCGAGCAGATTATGAATATCACGACCAAGTTCATAATTTTGCTAGCCAAACACATGGAGATCACAAGGGAGACTAACCTAAGCACCGAGCACAAGATGAATATTGCGAGCAGATTATGAATATCACAACCAAGTTCATAAATTTGTTAGCCAAACACATGGACATCACGGGGAAGACTAACCTAAGTACCGTCAAAAGGACGAATATCACGGGCATAATCACAAATCATATGCCTAAACACATGAGTTCCCCGGGCAGAGCCCCCCAAATACGAAATTCTACTACGTATCGTCAAAATCTATCAAATCCTACTACTAAACATCATCAAAATCTATCTACACACAAGATATCAAGAAAAGGGAACACTTACTTGAAGAATAGATGAAGAACGACAATGGTTGAGGAAGGGTGTGCGACGCATTGTGCGGCGGGTTCAAGGATTCTGGAAAACGGCACGGTGTTAACAGTGTAGAAAGTGGAGAGCGCGAAAATGTGAAAGTAAATTATGAGCCTTGGAGCCGTATTTATAGAGCTGACATGGAATGTGAAGCGTCACGCCGGACAGCTCATAAGCCGCCTTTCTCCTTGACACCTACATATACAGGTAATGATGGCCCATACTCCCTAGGTCATTATTACTATTCCCAATAGCCACGCCACGTGTCTGACAAATGCATCGTCTACTCCCTGCGAGTGCTCCTTAAACCCATTTCGACCTCTACCCGGGGCCAAATCTTGAACCGACGACGTCCCCCTTTTTATGGTATAAAAGCTCCGTGTCGAGCAGCGCACCTCGCAAAAGGACGAACTAGGACTAAGTCATGACTCCTTCACCAGGAGCAATGACTTGGGGGGAGGGGGGGGCTCCTGTTCTGGACCGGGCCTGCCCTTGGCCTAACTCCCTTTAAGGCCCAATCCAAGTGTGTAAACTTGCACCACTGACCAGTTCTATCCTCGAATGCGGCGAGCAACTACCACATTTTCCCCACGAGGAGACAACCTTACCACACGGGCACAACACCCTGAGTAGACTAAGGGCGGTCACCTCCGACCATGCAGGCTTCGAGGACACCCCGATGGGCTCGTCGACCAAGGCTGCCCCCCACTCGACCTCGCGTATGACGGGGATCACCCACAACGGGCAGATGCCCCTCCCGAGCATCCTCATCGTAGGGCTGACTACCAACATCTCCGGATATCACAGAGCCTTCACGACCCCAGAAAAATCGCATCCATATCCTCCTTACCCTGTAGAGGACGTCATCCAAGTAAAGGATCACGTGCGGGTCTCCACTACTCACGTAGGACCTGACAGTCTCTACGTTGGGCCTGTTTGACCAGTCCAATGAAGAGACCTTGATCCAGTACTGGGAGCTATAAATATCCTCTTTTTCGAGAGGGTCAGATATTCAACATTTTTGTACTCTCACACTTGATTTGTTTAATTATATATATATATATATATATATATATATATATATATATATATATATATATATATATATATATATATATATATATATATATATATATATATATATATATATATATATATATATATATATATATATATATATATATATATATATATATATATATATATATATATATATATATATATATATATATATATATATATATTAAAATGTATTATTTTTAAAAAGATAATTATTCAATCAAATCACCATTAAAACTTAGCTTTACAATATAAAAATTTCAAATAAATATCTATCATACAAATAAAAAAACTTTATATTTATACAATTTATTTTATTTTTATAAAATACACTAATAATAACACAAATTAATAATAATTTCTTATTTTGTTGCTCTGTAAGAGTACCTTCTAACTTCTTGGCACAATTATATTGAGGCAACATGTTATTTTTTTTTCTTTTCTTATTTATATATTTTTTATATGAAATTGATGAAAAATTTATTTTTTTATTGATATATAATTAATATTTTTAAATTTTTATATTTATCATTTTTAGTGACACATTATTTAAAAGTTGAAATATAATTAACTTTATGTAAAAATATTAAAAAAATTTAAATTTAAATTTAAAATATAAAGATTAGTTCTATAAATCACCTTAGTTTAACAAAATTATAGTTAACTTTTTATTAGGGTTTTTTTAACAAGCTTTTTATTAGGGTTAACTGCATGATAATTTAATGGAATTTATAAACATTTAATTTATCTTTTATTTAGATAAATAAATTAGTGCTAAACTCCAATTTTAAGTGAAAAAGTGTGGGAACTCACATGTTTGAATTCACTTCCCAACAAATTCAATATTTTTCAATGACCAAATTTCACAACACTTCTGACAAACTTATCATTTATTTATTTATTTATTTATTTATGTAGATAATATTTTATTGTTTCTGATTTTACGCCGAAAGGAAATAAAAATTCAAACATCTCAATGGCCAAATTGAAAAGCCAAGAGTCTCATGTATACATACTCTTTTTATTGATTTATATTTTTATAAAAAAAATTATTTCTTTGTATATGAAAGACAATTTTAATATTAATTTTATAATACGATATTCTTTTTTGTATAACTAGTGGACTTGGGCACTTGGCTAGTTGAATAGAAGAGATACCAAAGATTGCGGTAACGTATCATTCGAGAGATTCTCTTAATGCCAACAGAACCACTGATATCAATTTACATATTATTTATTTTTTAATAATAAAAATGTAAATTAATTTTTTATTCATAAGTTTAACAAAATCCATATTTTTTAATAAAAATTATCCATTTAGAATATTATTATTATTTTTATTTTTAATTAATCCTATTTTAGTTGTTTTTTATTAAACGATAATAATATCTGACACATTTAGAAAACAATTTTATTATTCCAAAATAAAAAATTATTTTCTACCAAATTTTTATAATATAAATTTATTATTATTTTGATTTTTTAAATTAACCACTTACCATCACTCTAATAATATCAACATTAATTATGAACAATTAAAATAAACTAAATTTAAAAAATCTTATATTATTTAAAAAAATCATTAATTCATAAATAATAATAAATTATTTACATATAATATATATGATTATATATTTTAAGAGATTTAATTTTAAATCGTCATTTCAGATTCATTAAATTCTACTATCAAATAAATTTATAGAATTAATTTATCTTTTTTTCACATAAATTTATTAAAATCATATTAAATATAAATAAAGATGTAAAAAAATTATTAGTAAAACAATAAAATTAAATTTTTTTTAGAAGTGGGGTTATTATAAATTAAATTTCTACTATCTGTTTTTTTCACCTTTAAAAAGGTTTGTTACAAAATATCATCTAACTAATATAAGAGATGGAGATTTATTTTTCCGGAAACAATGTACCTATCAAGTACTACACACAAATAAATAAAAAATAAAAAATAAAAAATAAAAAATATTATTCATGTATTTGTGTGCACTCTCTAAAAATCGGCTATAAAAGTGTGAAAAACAAAAGGTAAAGAAAACCAAAATCTAAGCTCAAGAAAACAGTAAGAAAAAGGCTCTTTGCTCTTCAACAACAAATCTTCAAAACTTCCATCAACATTGCATTCTTTCTTCAAGTAAGCAAATAAACCTTCTTCTCTTTTTCTTTTTTCTTTTTTTTTCTCCATATAAATAAATCACAATCTTTGTTTTTTTATTTTTTTTATTTTTTGTTATTGTTGAATGTGTGTGTATATTATAGATGATTGAAAAGATTTGAAGAAGAAAAAAAGAAGATGAGGAATTATGAAGCAATAAAGAGTTTTGAAGAGAATGAAAATGATGAAGATTTGGAGATTGGAAATCAAGAACAAGAACAAGAACATGAACATGAACAAGAACAGATCTCTGATTCAACAACAACAACAACCAAACTCAAGAACAAGATTGTTGTTGATGAACAACAACCTAAATCTCACCGTTTGCTTTCTCTTGATGTTTTTCGTGGCCTCACCGTTGCGGTAATCTCTCTCCACCTTTCTTATTACTCTAATTAATTGTTTAATTAGTCAGCTAATTTTTATTATTACTTTGATTTTTTTTTGTGATTAAGCAAACGACGTCGTTTTGTTATCTAAAATTAATATTAATATTAACAATATCTAATAATTATCATAAATTTAGTTGATTATTTAGGGTTAGAGAGAGAGATTTTTTATTTATTTTTGGGCTTAGATTTTGATGCTATACCCAATTTGTTGGTTGAAGAATCCAAAGAGTTGCACGTGTTAAAGTCATGTTGCTTTAATTTAAAGTTAAGAAGAATTATGTTTCGTGTTAAATTGATTTAATTAATATGATTAGTTTGTTAATTAGAGAACCGTCCATTTAAATTGCATTACGGCTACTACACCCTTTCTTATTAAATTTCCATAAGATTCTTTCATTATATATATATATATATATATATATATATATATATATATATATATATATATATATATATATATATATATATATATATATATATATATATATATATATATATATATATATATATATATATATATAATTTGAATTTTTAAAATTGATAGATCTTAACTCAACTGACACAGTCGATATTGTTAGGTTAGACGTTTTAGTTTGAATTTAGAATTCTAATATTCACTATTGTATGGGAGTTTTGAGTGATTATTATGTAATTCAGACTTAAAAAAAAATGAATTCTTATAAAGTATTATAATGTTTTGTTGTATATATGATTTTTTTTTAAATTTAATTTGTTTGTTTGTTTTCCTTATGATAATCATGTTATTTAGTTTGCTCAATGATTAATATAAGTTTGATAGTTATCTTAAACGTTTATGAAATACTAATGTTTGTTAAATTTCTAAATCTAGGAAGATATTTTTTGTTTTTATTTTTGTAGAGTTAGTTAACCTATAAAAGCTTTATTTATTATTATAGTAAAGTATTTTATGTTCCCACTTTTATAGAGTTTCTTAATTTTTAATATTTTTATTTAATGTTATATCTTCATTCATCTGCATAGCCGTCCATTTTAAAAGAATATATGTACCCATTAGATAGAATTTCACAATATTCTCTTATTTTTTATAATATAAATATCTTCTTATAGAAAATAATAATATATTTCCTTGTTTTTCTTTTATAATTTTGACCATTGATTTGATTGTTGATCATATACTATTTCTGTTTATTCTATTTATAGGGTCAAAAGAATAATTACTTTTTTATTCGAGTCAATTTTCATTTTATTCTTTTTATAGAGTAATTTTAAGAATAATAATTGTAATTTTTTAATAATTTATATGACTCATATAGGAATAAATAAATAACATATATCTTGATATGATATGAATAAAGTGGAGAATATATCTCAATCATGGAAAATAAAGTATCTTATTTTTATGACTTATAGGTAATTTTAATTTTTGCACCCCCACTTAACTAGGCCACAAAAATTATTATAAATGGATTAGGCTAATAAAAATGGTGTATTAGTATTAAATAAATAAAGTTTAAGGTTTATTATTAATTAGGTTATAAATAGAAATATCATTATCAAAAAAAGTGTGATAATAAAGTATGGTTGGTTGGTTAGATGTAATGTGCCTAACAGACTCCTCAATCACCACTATGTTGCTTTATCAATGGGAGATGACTTTGAAACGCAATCCTTGTGTGTGATTTGCTTTTGTAACTATCAATCTTCATGTGACCATTTTTTACATGACATAACATATTACATGCATCACATCAAATATTAGTTGCACATAAAAAGTTTTACTATGTAGCAGAAACACCTCTGGAAAAAAGTGTGTTTGTGTAAGTGTATGTGTGTGAACACGACACATATATATGTGATTGTTATTATCAAGATTGATGTGTCAGTATCGTGTTTCCGGTGTACGTGCTTCATAGGTATGAAGTTATGATCATTTTATTTGAGGAATTTATTTAGGCATTGAATTTGTTTGGTGTTCCTAATAAGTAATAGAATATTTGGTGATGTTCACATGGGATTGTACAATTTTGCTTCTTTCTTTCTTCAACAATTCACATGATACCTAATTCAATCATGTTATAGTTTGAAAACGACAAATTTAGTTAGGAAGTTGTTATCTTGAGGTTCTTAAATTGTCCTAATGTAATTAATGAGTATATGATGAAGTAGAAGATGCATTGCTCCTAAGATTAGTTTTTTGATTCAATGATCTCTCAATATTAAACCATAAAGATGTTCCAATTTGCGTCCCTGTAATTGAATGTCTCTGCACAGCTATCAACTGAACTGACTTAACTGGACAAATGTTAGTTTAGGCTAATACTGGATTTATGAAACTTAAATGCAGCTTATGATTTTGGTGGATGATGCTGGAGGACTCATTCCAGCACTCAATCATTCTCCATGGAATGGATTAACAATAGCAGATTTTGTAATGCCATTTTTTCTATTCATTGTTGGTGTTTCACTAGCATTCACATACAAGGTATGTTACTTGAATTTTTGTGTTGAAACTTTCTTGATAAATTGTTCATTTATCAACCTAACTATAATCTGTTTCGGTAACAGAAACCGTCTTGCAAAGTTGATGCAACTAGAAAGTCAATTTTACGGGCGCTTAAGCTTCTCGCGTTAGGCATTTTTCTCCAAGGTGCCAATTGAACCCTTGTCTTTGTTTTTGTGGCAATTTTTAATAATGAGAACTTGTTCAATTTGTGCTATGCTACGATGTTATGTATATGCCGCATAATGAGAACTTGCATTCTGTTGTTTGCAGGAGGTTATGTTCATCGCGTAAATGATTTGTCATTCGGAGTGGATTTGAAGCAGATACGATGGATGGGGATATTGCAAGTATGAATTGAACTTCTGTGTTCACACGAGTCCGAGTTGCGCAATTGATCAATAAGTTTGAGTTTACATATAATAACGATCATTATATAATTATTTACTTCATTTCGATGCCAGAGGATCGCAGTAGCGTATTTGATTACAGCTCTCTGTGAAATTTGGCTAAAGCGTGAAGATATCGTTAATTGTGGATCGACCCTTTTGAGAAAGTATCGATATCAATGGTAAGCTTGATTTTCATGCAAGAGTTTTAGCTTATACTTAATGATTTGTATGATAAAAACTTAACTTGTGTCTCAAGTCTTGCCGTTGTTAACCGATTTGATTGAAACAGGGCATTGGCTTTGTTTCTATCTGTCATTTATCTTTGCTTGCTGTATGGGATGTACGTTCCTGATTGGGAGTATGAAGTTCCAACAGAACCTTCTAAAGCACCTTTGATATTTTCTGTGAGTGTTCATGTCGTATGCTTTTTCTCATCGATTTTTCTGATATTGGTTGAACATATGATTTATGTAATCATTGTGTGCGATAGGTTAAATGTGGAGTGAGGGGTGACACTGGACCAGCTTGCAATGTTGTTGGAATGATCGATCGTAGCTTATTGGGTATACAACATCTCTACCGGAGACCAATATATGCGCGGATGCCTGTACGTTTCTCTATGTTCTAAGATTGTTACTGATAACGTATCGAAATTAAACTCTTTTTTGAAATTTTACTTAATTTGTTTGTTTCAACGATATTCGAATTTCTATAGGAATGCAGTATCAATTCTCCTGACTATGGACCATTGCCTCCTGATGCTCCTTCTTGGTGTCAAGCCCCTTTTGATCCTGAAGGACTCTTAAGGTGTCTTTCACTCTTTCATCTTCGCAGTGCTATAGCATTGTAGTATTGCGAAGTTTAAAAAGATTGCCGAGTTTTTTCGTTTTCGGCTCTAACTTTGTGTCTACTTTTGGATTATAGTTCAGTGATGGCAATTGTTACCTGCTTGATTGGCTTGCATTATGGTCACATTATTCTCCATTTTAAGGTAATTCCCAACACTTTTCTATCTTATCATCACATAAATACCAGACACGACACTGACATATCAACACTCATAAGAAAATGAATTGATTGAGTGTAGTCATACTCCCTCTATAACGAATTATAATCAAATTTGATTTTTTTTGGTACATTTGACAATTAATGTATGTAATACATATATGATGCTTATAATTTGTTACGGAGGGAGTATGTGTCAATGTTATGCCAGTGTCAAACACCGACAAATGTTAGACACATTACACACTTTCAATGTTATGCCAGTGTCAGATACCGACACATGTTAAACACCTGACACACTTTCAAAATGAAGTATCAATGCTACAGTCCTCTTCTAGTTATAAGTATTGATGGTTGTTTCCTTATTGCTACATGCAGGACCATAGAATTAGAATCATATACTGGATGATTCCAACCTCTTGTCTTGTAGCTTCTGGTCTTATCTTGGATTTATTTGGTAACCATTCTCTCTTAACTCTTTTTTTTTTTGTCTAATACATAAACTATAATGTTTCACTTAATTAATTTATATTCTTTGTAGTATTAATCAATTAACATAAGCTCTTGTGTTGTAGGAATGCATGTAAATAAAGTTCTCTACTCATTGAGTTATACTTGTCTCACTGCTGGTGCTGCTGGCATCCTCTTTGTTGGAATTTACTTGATGGTTAGTCATCAAATTTCTTGCTTTCTACTACATATGTTCCTTAATTAAGAAAAGTAATTAGTGTATTTAGCGTCTGCTTACATTGATCTATTTGAGCTTATCTACTGACACAAGTACGTACGGAAAAGCTTATGAGAAGCTTGTGACATGTCAATAAGTTGTTTTGAGTTTATTCTCGTATGCATTTATTGAGATTTTTCTAATTAAATTCTTTCTTCTTCCTTGAAGGTTGATGTATGTGGATATAGTCGCATGACATTGATTTTGGAATGGATGGGCATGCATGCATTGATGATATATGTCCTAGCAGCTTGCAACATTTTCCCAATTTTCATCCAAGGATTTTATTGGGGAAGTCCTCATAACAACATTGTAATTTCCTTGTCCCACTTTGCACAATAATTTACTAGTTTTTACAATGTTTTAAAAATCGAACCAGACGGTTCAACATAATTGAACCATGGTTATTTTGATGGTTCAATCACGGCATCATCCTGGTTCAAGTGGTTCAACACAATTGAGCCATGACCGATATGTTTTGCCGGTTCAATGTCTGGTTCGGTTTCTAAAACATGTTTTTGACTATAGTATATGATTTGCTATTATGACAATAATGTTATATGATTGCAAAATTTCTTGTCACAGCTAAAGTTAATTGGAGTTGCAACATGAAGGAGGCAGGCAAATATGCTAGTGGACAAGAAAATTATAATGTTAAATGGTGTGACATATTTTGTTTCACCAATGTCTTAAAGTAACGAGGAGGACCAAGCAATGTTTGTGGATTTTTGAGACAAATTTTGAGCTGGTCTTTTTGTTCAAGAACATGAATGAACATGAATAATGTTTCTCTAATCTATTGATAAAGTCACCTAAATGGATGATGCATGATGTATTTTGGAGAAGATACATTTCTTCATGGCATTAGCCTTTTTTATTTTTATATATATAGAGAAAAAAAGCAGCTTTTGTTTATAGTATATGACTGCTAAATGTTTTGTACTTTGTATCCTTGAAATGATAGATTTCAAGATGAGATATCAATGTATAACTTTTGTTTTTTATTTCTTTATTTATTTATTTATTATTATTAACTTAGAAATGTCAATTTCTTGGTTCAAATAGTGTTGAAAATATCTTAAGAAAGGTCAACAAATATATGAAACAAATAAAGAGGTCAAGAGAATAAGTGTAAAAAATTTAATAAATGAAGAGGTCAATAAATAAAGACTTGGGTTCTGTAAATTGTGTATTTTTTTAAATTTATAAACAATTCTACATTACTATTTAAATAATGGAAATAATATGATATGAGATAAAGTGCCATTACTTAAGGATGATAATTACACATAGGTTTTTATTTAATAACTTATTCTAAGCAACATTGTTTATATTTTATTTGAAGAAAAAAAATGTAATGAAGTATAGATAGCTTCGTATTGTCTTCTACAACTTTTTTATATATTTTGCAAAAGTTTTATCCTCCTTAACAATAATAACTCCAACCATATGTAACTCTTTATGATAAAGTTAAAGTAGGTAAATATTGAGATGTGTTTCCCCTATCATCGTAGTAAATATCCAAGTGTGTATGCATGCACTTTTTTTTTTTACATTCTTCCGTGTAAATTGATGAGACAGTTTTATTTGTATTAGATTAATTTAGAGAAGTGTCTTAGTAAAAATCTTTGATTTAAAATTTATTTAAAATTTAAGGAGGTGTCCAATAATGCATTTCGAACGTTTTTGTAACATATTTTTACGTCAGACTCTTTCCTTTTCCTCCTTTATTTTTTAAAAAGTCAATCGAAAGATCATTTGAGCTCTTTTGCTGCGAACCATTTTCAAACCCATTTGAGAAAGTTTTATCAAATTCACCCATTCTACTTTATTTGCTGCAAAATTAATCATACAAGCTTTTCATCCATAACTTTGATTTGGTAAGTTTCTCATTTCATTCTTTTTTATGTTTAGAATGATATTTTAGGTAAAATAAGTTGTTTAAACTACATTAGATAGCAGTGCAATTGAAATAGATAGTTGATATGGACATGCATTACAATTTGGTTGGAGGTTAGGGCAACAATGGGGTTCCTACCATGGAAGAAAATCGCAACTTCATCCAGAGATGCTTATCTGGATTATATCTGAACTATTTTTGAAGATGTATCTCCAAATTTGTACCTGGCTGCATTTTTGTTGAATTTTTTGATTGTGATTTTAACTAGATTTTGGCAAAAATCATATGTGTAACACTCTGATTTATTTAAGATTGTTTTATTCAAAATAATTCGATGATGTGATGCAATTATTTGCATTGATGAGTTTTAATGGTATATGTGATATCGATTGTGGAAATTAGAGGTCGAGATGATGAGGGGTGATTTGAGAATACTAGTGTAGTACTATTATTATAATTATTATTATATTATTTATTATTAATTTATTATAAATAAAATAGTATTTTATAATATTAATAATCAAATAATTAGTTAAATGAAGGAAGGGCAAGATTGAGATTAAATATTAGGGGTCTATTTGAGTTATGAGAAAAACAGAGTGAGAACACGAGAAAATAGATCGTAGAACGAGAAAAGAGAAGAGGCGAGAGAAGGCTAGGTTAAGGATTTTCCACCACTGTTGAGGAAATCAAGCTCTGAAAACCAAGGTAAGGGGGGAGGGGGTGAATGGGATTTTATAATTGGTGATTTGACATGAGAGGGTAGTGAAGATTCCTTCCCCTCTTAGGTTGTTTTTGGTGTATTTTGATGCATGATTAATCTTTGTTGAATTGAATGATTTCGTTGTGTTTGATTGAACATGAATTACGATATTATGGTTATGTTTGTTGTGGGAAATTCTGTTGTTGGGATGATGATGCCAGGAGACCTCAACCTAAAACCTATGAGTAATAGAAATTAGGATTAGAGGATTTGATGATGAAAAAGGACCCGTAATTGGTGTACAAAAACTATTGATTTGTGATGAATTGATAGATAGTGAAACTATATGTTTAAATGACTATTTAGGACCCGTAATGTGACAAGATCGCAGGAAAATTGATCTGGTTTTGTGCAGAATCGTAAACAGGAAAACCTTGTTCGCAGAGTATCGTTGGGAGATACAGGGAGTGTCGCCGGGTGACGGTGTTTCGCCAGCCGAAGGCAAAAGCGAGAAGGAGACGAGTTTTTGGATGAGCTACTGGAGGGCGTCGCGCCTAGCATCGCCGGGCGAAGGGTGAGGCGATGGAAGTTTCGTCGGGTGACACAGGGCTTCGCCGGAGGATGGATGGCAATAGCTGAAAGTTGTCTTGGACTTTCTTGAATCAATCATAACTTTAGTTTTAGGAATCCGATTGATGTGTCGTTTGAAGTAGTTGGTAGCTAACACCATGAACTATGATTTGAAGGATAAAAATGAGTAATAAGGATTATAATTCTAGTACCTAAATTAGGATTGAAATAGTTTCTCCTTGTTACACCGAAATGGTGAGTTGTTTATCGCAATGTTGCTTTAATTACGATGTTGTTATGAGGTAATGTTGATGACTATGATGATAATGATGTGGATGGCCTAAATTGGCACCATGGTGAAGTCTTATGCCTTATTGTTGTATAATTTATGTTTCCGCATGATAATGTTGCATGCATTCATTGGTGAGGGCTTATGCTATGTTGTTGCCCAACCGACATTGTGTTAAGGGCTTATGCTCTGTTGTTGCCTAACTGGAATTGTGATGAGGGCTTATGTTCTGTTGTTTCCCAATTGGAAATATGTTGGGGGCTCATGCCTCGATGGTACCACACGCATGTTGATGTATGTCTCATTGCATTGCATTGATGATTGAATTGAGGTCGTATGATGTGAATGATGGATGTTTATGATGTATTGTCTGTATGACATGATTTACTACTCCTTAGCGTGTTTTATTCACCGTGTGATTATTGAATGAAATTGTCACCCCTTTTGTGTTGTTGTGTATGTGCTCCATGGGAGTACATGTAATCAGGTACCCGAGTAGTGCTTAAAGAGATGTTAATATATCGAGTCTTAGATTCACTCTGATATGTAACACGGGATTTGGGGCTTTTACTATGTTTTTGTATGATTTCAATTGTTTCACATTTATTTTAAACTTATGATGGACCATATATTGTGGAGTTTGATTTGTTATTGAGGCTAGAATGTCGTTGAACTAATTTAAGTTGATTTTCCGCTGCTGGATAAATATTTTGGATAGACGATGAAATAAAGTATTTTGAAACTTTATAGATTTTTAGATTATGTGACATCCCATTGTGGACTATGATGCATTATTTTTCATTATTTTATACCATATTTATTAATATGGTAAAATTGGGTGATACAATTGGTATCAGAGTAAGTCGGCCCGTCCGGCCAGGTTGTTGAGTCATTAGTGTAATGTGATAGTGGAATGCTGTCGATGTTTTTCTATCTAACCGTTGTTTGATGTTGTGATTTGAAGAAGAGTAATGGCTGGAAGAGGCAATGGTGCACTTGCTAATGCGTTGCAGGCTTTGGCTCAGGCAATGCAGAATCAGCCTAATGCTGGTGGGAATGATGAGACTCGTGCTTTGGAAACTTTCCAAAGGAACCATCCACCTACGTTCAAAGGGAAGCATGGTCCTGAAGAAGCGCATGAGTGGCTCAAGAATATTGAAAGCATATTTCAAGTCATAGACTGTTCTGATGCACAGAAAGTGCATTTTGGTACGCATATACGGGCAAGAGAGGCTGATGACGGGTGGGTTGCTACTCGCCAGTGACTGGAAGGCACATGTGAGGATATTACTTGGGCTTTGTTTCGTAGGGAATTCTTGGTGAAGTATTACCCAGAGGATGTCCGTGTGAAGAAGGAGACTAAATATCTGGAACTAAAACAAGGGGATTTAACGGTAACTGACTATGCTGCCAAATTCGTGGAGTTGGAAAACTTTTATCCTCACTACGCGGAGGAGACAACCATATTTTCTAAGTGCATCAAGTTTGAGAATGGCTTACGTTCTGAGATCAATAAAGCAATTGGGTATCAACAAATCCGTAAATTTTTGGATTTGGTGAATTGCTGCAGGCAACAGAAGAATCATGGGAAGCCTTACAATGCTCCAAATGACAAAGGCAGATAGAGGGTTACTGATGGCAGAAGAACCGGTGGGGGAGGTGCTCTTATTGACATTGTGTGTTACAGATGTGGGAAGCCAGGTCACCGAAGTAATGCATGTACTGGAGAAATGAAGAGGTGTTTTCGTTGTGGTAAGGCTGGGCATGAGGTAGCTGACTGTAGACACAAGGCAGTGATATGTTTCAACTGTGGTGAGGAAGGACACATCAGTATTCAGTGCCAGAAAACGAAGAAAGCTCAGAACAGTGGGAAAGTTTTTGCTTTAGCTGGAACTCAGACATCCAGTGAAGACTGTTTGATTAAAGGTATTTGCTCCATTAATAGTACTCCTTTAATTACTATTATTGATACTTGTGCTACGAATTGTTTTATTGCTACTGATTGTGTTAAGAAGTTGGGTTTCGAGTTATCCTATATGAATGGAGAAATGGTTATCGAAACTCCAGCTAAGGGATTAGTGACTACTTCTCTAGTATGCTTGAAGTGTCCTTTGTCCATCTATGATAGAGACTTCCTTGTTGATCTAGTT